CCTCCCCCATCACACTCCTCCCCATCACACTCCTCCCCATCACACTCCTCCCCATCGCACTCCTCCCCCATCACACTCCTCCCCATCGCACTCCTCCCCATCACACTCTTCCCCATCACACTCTTCCCCATCACACTCCTCCCCATCACACTCCTCCCCCATCACACTCCTCAGGCACCCCCTCCCCAAATACATCGGTCCACTGAGCCTCAGTTCCCCCATCTAAAACATGTGGGCTGTCCCGGGCCTCCTGACCGCCCCCCCCCCACAGGTGGAGACGCCCTGCCTTCCTCGGGAGTACTGGGAATCGCTGGGCCCCCTGGAGGCCCCGCTGCAGCAGCCCTGGTCCCTGGCGGTGCTGCTGCATCTGGGCAAGCAGCTGGCTGAGTTGCTGGTGCAGGCGGTGCAGATGCCGCGCAGCCTGGCCACCCCGCAGGGCTCGAGCCGCCTCATCCCGGTGCTCTACCACGTGTACTCCTTCCGAAGCTACCGCCAGGTGAGGGGGAGGACACAGCAACGGGACTGTGCCGTTCCGTGGGGCTCTGCTACTCAGGGCAGCACCCTTCGCGGCCGTCCCCATCGGTGCTGGGATGTGTGTGAGAGCCGGGAGGTGGGGGCTGTTGTATTGGTCCTGGGCTCTGGGTTTTCTCTTCTTCCTGTGTGGTGGCAGAGAGTACCCCTTGTACATGCCTCTTGTGTCCGCTGTCTCCGCAGATCGGCATCCTCAAGCCTCACCCTGCCTTCACGCAGCTGCTGGAGACGGCAGCGGAGCCCACGCTGATCTTTGAGACCACAGAAGTGCCTATGCTGTGCCCGCCGTTGCCCTGGACGTCACCGCACGCCGGCGCCTATCTGCTGAGCTCCACCAAGCTGATGCGTGCCATGGAGGGGACCACGCAGCACCAGCACCTCCTGAAGCGCTGCGCTCCCGCCCAGTTGCACGGTGCCCTGGACGCACTCACACAGCTGGGGAACTGCGCCTGGCGTGTCAATGGGCGCCTGCTGGACTTGGTGCTGCAGATCTTCAGGGACAAGGGCTGTACGCACCTGGGCGTTCCTCCTCCACGCTCAGAGGCGCCCCGGCCAGCTCAGCAACAACTGCCGCCCGGCTCCTCACCTCTGCAAAAGGCGGAGCTGCGGAAGGAGCTGGCGCGCTGCCTCAAAGCGGCTCGGGAGATGCACAGCCTGCGCATCGAATCCCTGTACCGCCTGTCGCTGGCGCAGCACCTGCGCAACCGTGTCTTCTGGCTGCCGCACAACATGGACTTCCGCGGCCGCACCTACCCCTGCCCGCCTTACTTCAACCACTTGGGCAGCGACCTGGCGCGTGCGCTGTTGGAGTTCGCTGAGGGCCGGCCCCTCGGGCCGCAGGGCCTTGACTGGCTCAAGATCCACCTGGTCAACATGACGGGCCTCAGGAAGTGTGACTCACTGAGCATGCGCCTGGCTTTCGCAGACGAGATCATGGAGGAGATCTTGGACTCTGCAGACAACCCCTTGACGGTGGGGAGTCGCCGGCTCTTCTCCCTGGCTGCCCCCATCTCCGTCTCCTCTCTCTCTCTCGGTCCACTCTGGCCTGGGCCGCCTCCCTGGGATGCTCTCAACCCCTGCCCCAGCTGTCTCCACCCCCGAGCGGCCCTCCCCATTCCCCCCATGTCCCCATGTCACCTGAGCCGCCCTGTCAGCTTCTGCTGACTCTGCGCCCCGTGGGTCTTACACTCCACAGGGCCGGAAGTGGTGGATGGAGGCTGATGAGCCCTGGCAGACCCTGGCCTGCTGCATGGAGGTGGCACGAGCCGTGCGGTCCCCAGACCCCACCGCCTACGTCTCTCACCTGCCGATTCACCAGGTGAGCACTCGAATGGACTGCCCACGGGGGCGGGGCCCAAGGTGCCCCAGGAACGGGCACTTGCAGTGGGGTCTCACCTGTAACTGGGGCTTTGCTTTGTGAGGGAGGTGGGGTGACGGCTGTGTCAGTATTGGGTCCCTTGGGCTCAGCTCACCGGCGCCCCTTGTGGCCAGGATGGCTCCTGCAATGGCCTGCAGCATTACGCCGCCCTGGGCCGGGACAGCGCGGGAGCCGCCTCGGTCAACCTCACGCCCTCGGACCTGCCTCAGGATGTGTACAGGGAGGTGGCAGCGCAGGTGCGTGCCAGGGCCCCTTCCTGTCCCCAGGGGCGTCGCTTTCTTGTGAACGTCCAGATGGATCCCTGCCTGTCCCCCGCCCCATCCAGGTGGAGGAGTTCCGCCAGGAGGACGCCAAGGAGGGCCTGCGGGTGGCCCAGGTGCTGAAGGGCTTCATCACTCGCAAGGTGGTGAAGCAGACGGTGATGACCGTGGTCTACGGGGTCACGCGCTACGGCGGCCGCCTGCAGATAGAGAAGCGCCTGCGCGAAATCAGCGACTTCCCCCAGGTGTGCAGCCTGCCGGGTCCCCGCCGAGTGTGGCCCCTCGACACGGGCCGAGCCTGGGTCTCCTGTACGGTGCTAGTCCTAGGTGCTAGTCCTAGGTGCTAGTCCTAGGTGCTAGTCCTAGGTGCTAGTCCTACGGTGCTAGTCCTAGGTGCTAGTCCTAGGTGCTAGTCCTAGGTGCTAGTCCTAGGAAGCCTGGGTTCCGGCGCTTGGGCAAGGGGAGGGGCCGGCCCCGCCCACCCGCCGTTCACAGCCGCCGTGCCCACAGGAGTTTGTCTGGGAAGCCTCACACTACCTCGTGCGCCTGGTCTTCAAAAGTCTACAGGAGATGTTCTCCAGCACCCGGGCCATCCAGGTGAGTGGCAGCCCACCCCTCATCCGGAGCCCCCTCCACGCCGTGGCTTGCCCATCCGACCCGGGGTCCCGTCATCCCCGCAGCACTGGCTGACCGAGAGCGCCAACCTCATCTCTCACGCGGGCTGGCCCGTGGAGTGGGTCACACCCCTGGGCATCCCCATCATACAGCCGTATCACCGGGAGGCCAAGATCCAGGTACTTGGAAAGGCCCCTCCCCCTCCCTCCCCCCTCCTCCCTGCCCAGGGCCGGGCTCACCAACCCCCACCCCGCTTTAGGTAAAAGGTGGCATCCAGAGCCTCACCTTCACCAGCTCGGTGGACATCAGCCAGTGAGTCCCAGACTCCAGGGAGGGGGAGGGGAGAGAGGGGGAGGGACAGGAAGGAGGGTGGGGTGGAGGGCGAGGCCTAGCCCTTCTGGGTCCACAGGAAACCCAACACTCTGAAGCAGAAGAATGGCTTCCCTCCCAACTTCATCCACTCGCTGGACTCCTCCCACATGATGCTGACTGCCCTGTACTGCTACAGGTGTGTCCCGGGGGGGCAGGCGTGCACTCGCTGCGGGTGTGTCCTGGGGGGCAGGTGTGTCCTGGGCACAGGTGTGCACTCGCTGCGGGTGTGGGGGGGGGCAGGTGTGCACTCGCTGCGGGTGGGGGGGGCAGGTGTGCACTCGCTGTGGGTGTGTGTGTGGGGGGGGAGGCGTGCACTCACTGCGGGTGTGGGGGGGGGAGGACAGGCGTGCACTCCCTGCAGGTGTGCCCTGGGGGGTAGGCGTGCACTCCCTGCGGGTGTGTCCCGGGGACATGCAGTACCTCGGCTGCATGGGCGCTCAGTCCGTGGTGGTTAGCTGCCCGGGGCATGCCAGCCTTGTCTGCTTTCTAGGGATATGGCGACATGGCGGGACAGGGATGGTGAGGTGGAGTCTGGTGGGTAGACACTGTCCTGAAGGGCAGGGCAGGATGGGGGTGCTGCTGTGAAGTTGCAGGGGTCCCTGCCTTGTGCCCAGGTGGTCCAGCAGCAGGTCCTTGGCACAGACCTGCCACTGGACCGAGCTGCGATTCGGACAGGGGTCAGTTTACTACCTAAGACCCAGCAGCTGTTTGGGAGTGTGTGAAGCGAGTGTCTCCCCGAACACGTGCTGCTTAGAGCGCTGGGGAACCCGGGTGTGTGTGCTGGGGCCCCACGGAGCCCGCCCGTGCTGGGCGGACAGCCAGGCACCTGTCAGCATGAGGCTCAGGGCGGTGGCCGGACAGCACCTGCCTCACTTGGGGTCTCCCTGGCCAGGAGGGGTCTGACCTTCGTCTCTGTGCATGACTGCTTCTGGACGCACGCCGCGGACATCCCGGTGATGAACGAGGTATTTCCAGTCCCGGCTCCCGGTCACCCCGCGGGTAGAAGTCTGTGCCATGGCTGACTCAGGGTTGTCGCCCCTCAGGTGTGTCGCGAGCAGTTCGTGCGTCTGCATAGCCAGCCCATCTTGGAGGACCTGGCGAAGTTCCTGGAGAAGCGCTTCTGCTCTGCCTCCAGGTGAGCTGCCCCTCTGGCGGCCTGGTCCCCGCCTGCCGCCTGCCCCCCACTCATGTCTGCCCATCCCCTTTGCACTACCAGGTCCCTGAAGCCCTCGGAACGCGTCCTGGTCGCCAAGCTGCAGGAGACGCTACGGTCATTGCCAGAGACGGGTAAGGGTTAAAAGGGGCGTGTGTGTGTGTGTGTGTGTGTGTGTGTGTGTGTGTGTGTGTGTGTGCGCTGGCCCTGAGGGCACGTCTGGGGCCTGGCCTCAGCTTCATGCTCTTTGGGCCCGCAGGTACCTTCGATCTGCAGCAGGTGATGAGATCCACCTACTTCTTCAGCTGACCCACCCTGTGCTGTCCCTAGACCTGTGCATAGTGTAAATAAATTAATGTCTGTGTCACTTACTCCAGCTGCCACTTTCTGGCGTCGCGCAAACCCACCAAAGCAACCAGACACGGCGCTGGGCGCCAATGCTGTCGTTTATTGCGCGGAATGGGGTGTGGGTTAATGGGGCATGGGGGCCGCTGCTGCCTCGGCTCGTCAGTACATTCATGGCGACGGCGGGGACCCAGCCTCGCCCCCACGCCGGCTTGGCCGTGAAGCCCACCCCTGGGTGCCCGAGGAAGGTGACTCGGACGCGTGGGCAGGGGCCAGGCTGGTTATTGCGTGAGCTTGCCGGGCTGGGGCAGCGGGAAGCCGGCGGGCCGAGTATTGCACTTGATCCATATTCCTCCTCGGCCAGGGCCGCCCCGTCCCCGTCCCCAATTGGGGCTGAGGCACCGAGGTGATCGCGCCCCTCCCTCTCCCGTGCGCGGCCGCCGCTGGGGCAGGGGCGATGGGGGTGGGCGCAGGGCGATGAGGGGACAGCCGGGCGCAGGGCCGCCCGCCGCCTAAGCTACCTACGTCCCTCTATGGCTTCTGCACGGGCACGGGCGGGCGGCGCGAGGCATGGCTTTGGTGTGGATGACGGCCCCGCCCGGCCCGCGGGGCGGCGCGCAAGGGTCACAAGTTGGAAGAGAGGCGCGAGCGCGCAGAGTCCAGGGGGTCCAGGCCACCGGCAGCGCCGGGCGAGGCTGAGTCCCTGCGGTCCGGG